TCTGGCAAGACAAGTAGTTTTGACCTGGTCAAAGCTGAATGGGTAGCCCAGTCAGCATGCCACATGTAAATCTGTAAAATGGATGATTCTCTCAATCTGTAAATCCATTTAAGTTGAAAATTTCCCAGCTATCTAAACATCATATGAGTGTTGTTGTGTACAAATTTCAGAATTTTCTGGGCACTTTTTTTTTGGTTCAAAATTTTGACGGAATAGTGGCTGAATTTGAAATTAGATGGTTCTCTCAATCTCTAAATCCATTTAAGTTGAAAATTTCCCAGCTATCTAAACATCATATGAGTGTTCTTTTGTAAAAATTTCAGAATTTTCTGGGCACTTTTTTTCGGTTCAAAATTTTGACCGAATAGTGGCTGAATTTGAAAATTTGATGGTTCTCTCAATCTGTAAATCCATTTAAGTTGAAATTTTCCCAGCTATCTAAACATCATATGAGTGTTGTTGTGTAAAAATTTCAGAATTTTCTGGGCACTTTTTTTCGGTTCAAAATTTGGGCAGCATTTTGGTAGCATTTGGGCACCATTTGGTAGCATTTGGTCATCATATGGAAAAAAATGATTGCAAACACACAAAGAAGTGATCTGAAACAAAATATATAGATGTCTTAAACAGAACACACAGATGTCTCACACACAATACATAGATGAGGTCTCACATACAACTCATGGATGTCTCACACAATACATAATGCATTTCTGGCAAACAGCGATGTTGCTAGCTGATTCATGATTCAAATCCCAGCAACCTTCGAAACCCCGCATACTTTTTTGTGTGCTTGACAATTCTGCTGCTAGCTCTAGCGCTAGAATTGCCGGTAGATACATTAACATTGACATTGGAGCTTCTTTCCACATTAATTGTATTTCCGGAGAAATTGTTGGACCTGCTGCTGCTTCCAGTTGGCGCCCTTCTCTTTGGGTTAGGTGCAGCCACTTCCTCAGTGGCCTTCCTTTTGCTCTGCCTAGTGCTGCTCTGGCGTGAAGGCTAGAAGAAACATGACAAATGTTAGTTATATATACAGAATAGTGTAATCAGGTTTGTTTATACATATTTCCTGGATAGCTTACCATATCTGGCCATTGACTAGCACATGGTGCTTGGCTACTTGTTGCAGTTTGGCTTGCAGCAGGCTGTTTGGAAGTAGTTGATGGTGCTTTGCTTCTAGCAGGACCTTGGCCTTGCTCAGGAGGCTGCTGCATTGGTGTATATGAACTCCCTGTGCCACGCTATCGGGTACATCTGATGGTTTGCATCTCTTCCAATTGCACTTAGCACCTCTCCTCCTCTTCCCTTCAAGAAACATCCATCCAAACCTATGACCTTTCTGCATCCAGCTAGAAAACCTCTCTTACAAGCATCAAAACATATAGAATTTGTCAAAGGTTGGAACTTCATTGTCAGGGTTTAGTTTCACTATGCAAGTAGAACCAGGATTGCTTCTAAGAAGCTCTAGCTGACAATCAAAGACTAGGCTATATTCACCCAATTTTGACTCTTGTATCCTTTTTGAGACAATTGCCTTAGCTCTCTTGATCTTCTATATGTGTACATTAGCAAACATATCCTCCTACACTGTGGCCTTCAAATTTTGGACTGACCAGTCAGTGTTTGACTTGATCAAATTCTCAAATTTGTCAGCTATCCTGGTGCATGTCACCAACTTGTTGTCTCTTCTCTTTGGGCATGTGTGTTCATCAATGAAAGAAGTAATCTGCCAGCTTTCATACTTGCTAGTCTTCCTCGCTAAACAAACCCATTTGCAACTTGGCCAAGTGCACTTTGCTCTCACCCTGTCACCCTCGTCCTTAATGAATTTTATTTCCTTCCTCTTCCTGAGACCATAGTCCACTATTGCCTCTTTGAACTGTTTCTTTCCACTAAACTTCATTCCCACACTGAATTTCTTCACCTCAGCCTGACTCGAATACTTTGGAAACTCGGACTCATGAACCACAAGCTGACCATCACTATCTTCAACATATGATTCATCATCTTCATCACTTGAGTCAGCTACTATCTTTTTTTTGTCGGAGGTGCAATGGCCTTCTCTATAGCAGTGTTGTCCTTGCTCGTGCCCTTGCTCTTGCTCTTGAAATCCTTGTACTTCTGCCTAATCTCCTCCACCTCATCATCGGATGTTGAGCAATCCGATAACACAAAGTCACTATCGGATGAAGAATCGGTACCACTGCCATCAACAGCATCACATTGATTTGATTCCTCTTTACCACCAGCAGGTACTTCATCATCCCCAAAACTTTGCTTTGAATTCTCATCACCGCCTGCGGGTACTTCATTATCCCTATAACTTTGTTGTTGTGGCTCATTACTACTAATGTCCTCAACATATATGTCCACTACACCTCCATCTGTTTCATATGAGAGCATGTACTTCACAGAATTTTCATCAACTAATGCCATCAATCCATCAGACAA